TGCAAAACAATCTCACTTCTAATTTAACGAGTCACACTTTTTTTTTTTAGTTTTAAATAAATTTAAATAAAACAAATTATCTTATTAGTATCTATTATTTTTAGGAACTACCATATACTACTCAAGCTAAAACAAAATAGTAATGTTAATATCTAAAGTAATTAATGAAATCCTAGTAGGTGCTTCTCTTCAGGATGAACTTCCTTTATTTACTATGCGTTAACCATGAGGTAGGACCTAGTTTGCTAAGGAAATCCAGGATGAGCTTTGGAACAAGATTTGTAGTGTAGAGAGTACGATCAATAACGATATTTTGATGAAACTGTGAAGGTTGTACTTAGAGAGCGAAACACAAACATTCTTCATGACGGGTATGAGGAACTTTGTGATGTTGTTTGGGTCCCCGAACACTTCATTACCCCTGACTATAACTTTGATTTGGGTGCAAAGTAGTCTTTGGAGATGTTGTTTTGAACCCATGCATTGGTGAAGGATTGGTCTGCAACAGCATTTGAGAGACTTGTTTGGCATGGCGACCACCACCCTGATAGGAGTTCTAACGAATTGGTCGAAGGTGGTTCAAAGGAAAGTGACTTGTTGAAAGAGATGCAATGGTCACTGAAAAAGGTTAGAAGAAGGGTATGAAAACAATGGTTACTACAGTGACATGATTTTTTTTAGGGTTTAATGAACTAAATTAATAACTTTTAGAAACAATTTCTTTCACGTCTCACAACAGACATCAGACCACATGTATAAGAAAATTTGACGCTTACCCATGTTTATTTTTATTAATTATGTTACTGACATAAATTTTGAGACAACAATGGTGTTTATAAAATAATATTTTTACTTTTATTTATTTTTTCTACTCTCAAAAGGAGGGGGAAATGAATTTAAGAGAGAATTGCTTGTATCATTAAAATTGAATCATATTATGATAAATTATTTAAAAATTAAATTAAAAAATTAAAAATTGCAAGAATAAACAAATTAAAATAATTCTATAAATTAGTAAAAAATCATTATTAAGTCACAAATATTAAATTTAAGAAAGATATAAATGCGAAAAATGATTTTTTTTTTCTTTGGGGGTGGGGGGGGAGCATATGCAGAGGTTAAAAAAATAAAGGAAAAGCGAAGGCTAACAATTTATTATAATAAGATGTTACACGAATAGAATAATCTAATACTCCTGTATTTATTATATGCTAATAACTATATCAAGTGTAGTTTTATACTGGTACAAATTAAGTACAATAACAATAAACTAATAACCCTAATATTAAAGCTTAAGTACACAACATCTGCCATTAAGTTTCAGTTTATTAATTAGGTTTAAGCTTGTTACTAATATCAAACCCACGAATCAAAGAATTTTTTAACTTGTCCAAATTTATGCATGATAAGAATTTATGTACAATAAGTTTTATTAAAAATTCTAATATATAATATATTAAATTATCTTAATTTTATAATTTTTAATAAAAAATATTAGATAAAAATTCTTACCACATGTAATTTAAAAAAAAAAACTTAAAAGAAAAACAAAGAACACCGACCTGTCAAAACACAAACCTTACGCAATTAATACGCCCGGTGAATCACAAAACACAGCTTATTAATTTAATTAGATAGGTCCATGCTTCCCCTCAGTGTATACCCATGCACTGAGTTGGGTTTTTTTATACCGCCCAATGTATATAATCCCTAACAAAATATCCGTAACACTAAAGTGCGTTACCAATCAGTAACACAAAATTTGGAAGCTTTTGCCAGTGTCTAAGTCGTTAGGTAGCAAACCCTTGATATAAAAAGAAGGAGCCCATAAATAATAATGAGAGGTTGGACAGTCTCAATTTTTCATACCTTGCGTCAAGGAAAATTTCTGTTGATTTTCTTGCAAGCATGATAGTTTCAGCATATTAGACCTCCTCCTTCAGGTCTGCTTCAGTTGCTTCAAGCTGATTTTACTAGTCTTACTTAAGATTGTACTCTCTTGCCCTTTTCTTGTTTCTTTGTTTACTGCTTTTCTCATGAAACCAAATAAAATGGAAGATATTTTATTTCTCAAAATATTAGCATTTGAACTTGTCAAATTGTAACTCAAGATATAGGTTTTAGGTGACTCGACAAATATTCCAGTCACAATGGTAGGTCAAAACTTACTTATATTATACACACAAACAAAGAGAAAAAATAATTTTGTTTTGAATAAGTAAAATTTAAACAGTTTAAAACATTTTTATTATGATTTTCTTATATTTAAGTTACTATATAATAATTGAGTTTCACATATTTTTTTCTAGTTTTATAAAGTAAATTATGTCAAACCAGTTTCTTATTCTTATCGACTCAATACATAAATTGAAAACTTATGTACTTCAAACATATTGTATTATGTTGTCTTAGAAGTTTGAAGTTCAAATTCTATTGGCACTTGAGTGAAATTTATGAAACGAAATAGGCCACCCTGATTATAGCCCCTAATAAAAATAATAATAATATAAATATGTATTAAGAGAAAATCCTACCAAACAGAGATTTGAAAATTAACTTTTGTTTAAACTATGGGCAAACACAGGGACATTGGGTCATATCCGCGTATGAATGCGGACCACTAAAACAAACATGAACCGATATGTTTAAGTATCGTTACACGTCATGTACATTAAGAATGCATAAACAAAGTTAAGCACAACACGAAATTTGAAGGAATTAGATGAGCAAACGTGTGCATTACATCTGCACTGTAAATGATGTTACATTGTGCTAATCCCAAATCAGTTCCTTCTCAATTGGCCCCTCTCCAAAACACCTTCTCCAATTAAATCAAAACATCATGGCTTAATTATTGACTTATTCTTCCCACAGAAAATTCCATCACAAAGTGAAAGAATTCTTTCCAATAGATGTCAGGAATATATTCTTCACAATAATCGATTGTCCATCATAGTGGATGATTTGATACGCAAATAATTATAAAATGTTTTTTTATCCAAAAAAGGTCTAAATGTTTGACAAACAGAGTCTATGAGGCATTTATTGGTGCCTTTATTCTTCTATACCATATGCTTCATTGCTTTTTGTTATCCTCTGGGTTAAGCAAAGGATAAAAATTCAGATTCACAAAAAGGAATCAAAAGGGCTGATTTTATTTTGCTTCGTGATCAAATCAAGTGAAAAAATCCAAGTTGTCTTTCATTCAGGAATCAACATGTTACTCTGCTTTCTTTTTCCTATTAGGAATCCAATTATGGACTACAAAGATTTGAAAATTGAAAAGTTCCGAGTTCACATAATCCCGTGTGAATGGATTAGCCAACCGACCTTGAAAAATAAAATAAAATCCAAAAGATGAAGGTAGCTTCAAGAAAAGCATAGTCACAAGGTGAGACCAACCATATCAGGCAAAAATGAAAAAGGGTGTTTCTATGACAGTTCCTTACATGGTAAAACCCTCTTTCCCCTATATGTATACGTGTCACTTCTTGAGTTATATAAATATTGACAGGTAGAAGATCACCATTACAGTATCATTCAACACAGACACATACCTTGATACAAGTGCAATCAGGCATACATTTGACCTTCTCACTAAAAATCTTTAACACTTCACCTTTCATTCTACAACATGCAGAATCCAGAGACCCAGGGAAACCAGCCTCCCCCAGGTTCCGCTACACACACTGCATTTCTCTCTCTCTCTCTCTCTCTCTCTCTCTCTCTCCCTCTAATAAATAATGCACAAACACAAGCTACTTGATTTGAAGATCTTTCAAACTCACTTTTCGTTGTCCTATGATTTCAGGATACCCAACAAAGAATAATCCCCCCACCAAACGAAAGTTTTTCTCCAGTTCGAAGAAGAAAGGAGAGAGAGGCTTCATTGAGGGATGGTAAGCATCCATTGCATAGTGATTATATGTTAACACAAAAATACATATGTTAGTTATCCTGCAGGCTGCATGATTCATGAAGAGTACATGGCAGAGAAGAATATAATGATATGTACTGTGCATAATTGTTTAACTGGACATGAGAAAACAACACAAAATCAATGCATTTATTTGAATAGATATGAAGAAACTATTCACTAGAATCCTAGACGATGACTTGGATCAGCATATTCTTTTGCCATGGACATTAATATCCTTCTTTTTATGTTATAATTCTTATTGATGATGCAGCCTATTTGCTCTGTGCTGCTGCTGGCTTTGCGAAGAATGCTGCTGAACTGCTGTTCCGGCAGGAGAGCTATATTGGCATATTAGTGGCGAGTGTAACTGCTTATTTCCTAAGTTGTTTGGGTTTGATTTTAGTAGTTCTCACCAGGCATATGTTGTATTACTACCTTACCCTGTAATCATGTAATTTTTATATGTATACACTCATCTACTTACAGATTATTGTATTCACTAGATTCCTCGGTTTTTCCTACCTGCTTTGTTTTTTCACATGGCTCGGGGCTTTTGACCAATAATTTTCTGAGATGGAAACAAGTACAAAATATAATAGAGACAGGATCACGGGTGCATCATATAGATATTGTATCAAAATATAAATAGAAAAATAAAAAGCTTGTTTCATAATTTTCATATGCTAATTGAGAGATTTTTTAACCTAAAAAAGGCCTTGTTATCTAAATTGCAATGCTCTTTGAGCTCTAGTAATCATTACTGTCTCTTCTAGTTTCAAGACGAGCTATTCCATGGGTCCTGAGCTCGCCTTTCCTTGGTATTTTGAGCATCTTTGGCTTTAGCAACATATTTGACACTCAGTTATTACGAAAAGGAATAACAAGGCTATACTCAAAGTAAAGATAATACCTCAAAATACATATAATGATGACAGAAAACAAGCTTTGAGAAGACATCAGAAGTGGAGAATAATCACTTAAAAAGAAACGTTTTCAAGGTGAAAAAAAAAATATTTTTCTAAAATAAACGTTACAATAGTGTGGGAAGAAATCATGCACAGGCAGCACAGCAAACAAGTATGTCAAGGAATGTTCAAGAAAGTATGATCATGTGAGAACGCACACTTTGAACTTCCATAGATTAATACACTGAAATAAGTTTCTCTTGGCATGTAAAACATGTAGTTGTATACAGTCAAGTTTAATTCAATAAAAAAGAAACTCAAAGATGAGTACAAGAAATACAAATACAATATCAGAGCTACTCTGTACAACAGCTCGTGTTTCATAGAACAACTAAGCAATAACCATACTAGGATACAAAATCCCTTGCTGCCCACCTCTCCTCATACTTTCCAAACGAGAACGTAGTTGAAGGTATCCCAGTCAAGTGAAAGGGGTCAGGTTCAATGCCATAATCTGTGAGTGGTCTTTGCTCCAGAATATCATCATGACTTTTCACAAAATCTGGTATCTCAATATCTCCTTTCTTTATATCATCCCAAAGGTACTGAAGGCGGCTTACATATTTGATCTTCCAATATAATCTAAGAAAAGGCAAAAATCAGAACGAAAAAAATTATACAGTCAGTCAACCAATTGATTTGATGAAAATCAAAGCCACTGCAAGATCATCAAATGGTACTCCTAAATACAAAACTTTTCAATGTTTGTTTCTGCAAAGAAAGTAAGAATAAATAAAAACTAACCCTCCACTCAAGAAAAACCGGCCAAGGGTAGCCATGACTATCCTGGATCGAAGGCCAGGATGGACGAAATACACAGTTTGAAGCCTGTCCTTGAAATCACCAGGAAGTTCCTCATAAATCCACCTCAAGATGGTTAGGCCAGGGGAGTTATCCTCCTTCTGAACAGTGCTGTGCATGTAAACAATGCAGAATGGCCCCTCTGGCAACTCGCTGCAAATTTTGTGAATAACATACCTCTTCAGCCGCTCCGCACTCACAACCGTTGCTGCACACCATTCAAAAGCAGGTTTATCATTTAAGTGCCAAAGCAACAGAAGTAACTCATAATACAGGCCTCAATTTAAGCGTTGATTTTCTTCTAACATGTTTGGATTCAAGTTTACTTCAACTTTACTAATTATAGCTTCTACGTTGGATCTGCGTTTCAGGTTTTCAAATGTTTCCAAACATGCACGAACTTCACTTTTCTTTTATTGTTTGACTTTGAGACCTAGAGTTTTGTTTATTTATTTACATTTTTCCATGGCTCAAAAGAACATCGAAACGAGTACGAGAAGCAACAACAAAAACATGTAATATTAGCATAGTACAAGTACAACTAGAATATGAGTAGTGAGATAACGAGAGAACTTAAAGAGCAAGAATCCTAATACGATAATTAAAAGGAGAAAGTAACAATTAAAGATGCAAAGTAGAGTCCATAAACCCTATTTAAGTATCAATTAGCGAAAAATGAAAGAAAATAATAGGTTGAGTTGGGGAATACCGGGAAAGTACTTGCCGACGATGCGGAGAATGCGATGGGAGTTTTTGTCGGAACCTTGGAAGAGAAGGAATTGCAAGAGATCGAGATCTGAGAAGTCATCGTCGGGGGAGAGGTGTTGGGAACAGTCGTGCCATTTCTCTGCTTCTTCTTGTTGTTGGTGAGCGAGGAAGGGTCGTGCATCGACGCCGAGGTCCGATGCCAACACCACCACCGAGAAATCCTCCGATGAGTGACCCATCGCCGCCCCTAATCTAAATCCCTACCTATGTGTGTGGTTGTTTATCACTTGTTGGCTGTTGCTTTTGCTAATTTGCTATTGGTTGGTTGTGTCTTCACTCGTGCAACCGAGTCAGGGATAAAACAGGTTAAAAGCCAGACGGAGGATATTTTCTAAATAATGGAAAATAAGGGATTCTTTTAAAAACAAAATATTTGAGAATTATGTTTAGGGAATCACTTATCTAAATCTAATCTTGTTTATGTCATAGTATTCATTTAAATCTTGAGTTTTATTTAATCACTTCAATATTTTTTCCTCCAAAAACTAAGTTTATATGAAAATATTATTTTTAATTTTTTTAAACGTTATCTATTTTATTTTTTTATAAGTTACTTGCATCTACTTTTTTTGAGCTCTTTTCTAAATGATTTTATTAAAACATAAAGATATAGATATTTTTTTAGTTAAATTACATAAATATGAATTTTTTTAAAAAGATTATCTCTTTTTTATGGATTTTTTTGTAAATACAAAAATATAAATATTTTTTTGTTAAATTACATAAATATGAGTTTTTTAAAAAATTTGTCATTTTGTCGGGAACAATTACTTCTTAAATATTTTATTATTATTTAAAAAATTTATTAGTGAGTTATAATTTTTTAATATTTTTTAAAAAGTCATCGTTAATGATTTTTTAAAGTTTACTGTTTTTTATTTTTTTTATTTTTAAATTATTGTAATTGCACAAAAATTACTAATAGCGACTTTTAAATTTCTTTCTATATATTTTTTTAAATATCAGCATATATTTCTAAATATTATATATGTATATTTTTTTTTTTCAGTCTACGACATATAAACGAAGAAGAATTAATGTATTTGGTTATTTAATTTATACTAAAAAAATAGTAAAATCGCGTTACTAATGAAAAGAGTTAAGTTGGATCTATTTTATTTCCTAAATTTAGTACGAGGATGTGGTTTAATTATTTCATATTAGCATTTTATTTAATGGTAAGAGAACTTAACACTAATAAGACTATTAGATAAATAAAAATAGATTAGGCTACTGGTAGATTTTTAAAATTCGAGTGTGATTTTTTTTTTGAAAAAAACTTAAGAGTTGAATTTTATCAGTTTACTTTATAAATTATTCAATAATTTGTATAAAGATTACTCAAATTTAAAAGAAAAGCTTTTTAATTAATGTTAAACAAAATATTTGTACAAAATATAGTTAGTATCTTGCAATATATGAGTAATAGAATGAGAGTGAACAATCATCTTATAGTTTATTAGATTGGTTTTTTTCATGCCGAGTTGTCCAATTTATATAGCAATAATAAATGTATTCAAACTATATTTGAAAAAAAAGTTAGTTTGACAAAAAAAAATTAACAAAACATTTCTTTTAGTCTTAAATATGAGTAAAAATAATAATAAAATTAAGTTAATTTTATTTAATATTTTTAATCTTATAAAAATTATATTCTTATTTGAGGAAAGTAGCTTTTTTCTTGACTTTCGCTTGGTGAGAAGAGGAGAAAGAGTATTTTTTGTGCCTTTACTAGAGTTTCCTCTTCCTAAGGTTTCCGTTGCATATGCGGCATCGCAACATCTCTAGGAGAATCTTAGTGTCTCAGGGATAGTTTCTTTTTAAGAAAAAAATGAAGATCTATTGGACTTAGGATAGAAAAACTGAAGGTGAAGAAATGTTCTTAAGAAGAAGATCGGTGATTAGGAGCAAGAAGAAGATGAGGGTGGATCTTAATAGTCCTAACATAGATTTGTAAGAAGCTAGTCACGAAGAAGGTTTTCAAAGCAACCATGATATCTAGATGTTTTCTAATCTTACTCATTCTAGTATTAAGTATAAAGATAAGGTCTTGGCCTTGAAAGACCTATATTTGGTCTTTCGGATGAAGAGATTATTAAATTTATTTTAGAGGATTTTAATATTTTGTCTAACTTTGAGGAGCATGATATTACAAACAAAATTGTAACTCAAAGTCTCTATTCTGACCTAAAAATTGATTGCTCTGGAATATCACGAGGCATGGTGTTCAACATGGAACTCCACATTAATAGTAAAACTATTAGGTAAAGCAGTAAGTTTCAACTACTTGAACAAAAAATTAGGTCATATTTGGGAGAAAAATGGTTCCCTAAAAATTTTATATTTAAATAATAATGTCCTTTCAGTTAAATTTAAAAACATAGATGATTATAAACATGCCCTCTACCTTGTAACACCTTACATTTTCTTATCTTAAATATATTAAGTTTATAAAAATTTATAAAGAATAACCAAACTTTCATTGTAACAATTAATTAAAATTTTCAGAGATAAAATCTTTCATTACAGTCAATTCGTATATAAGACAAATTTAAGAAAATAAACCGCATAAAATATACTACAAATTAATATTTACATACTAAAAGATTTCAATGACAACTTAGTATATTGCATTTACATATCATTTATCCAAAATATATCAATATTTACAATAATTCATACTCATTCCCACATACCGAGAATGTAATGCTCCGAATTTTGTAATATTAATTATTGATAATTATATAAATATAAATGTATATTCATGTGTGTATTTTTTTAGATATATGTTGTGAATATGTATGTGTATATATATATATATGTGTGTGTGTGTGTATGCATGAATGATTGGGCTGAAATAAGCAAAGTGCCTAAGTACAGGGCGAGATACTGGGCTGTTCTCGCTGCAGCGAGAGGATTCTTGTTGTAGCGAGAGGGCCCTGGGAGGAAGGACTGAAATTGTCATCTTCTCGCTGTAGCGAAAAAGCGACAGTTTGGGGTATATTTCTGGGTGCAGTTTCGCTGTAGCGAGATTCTGCAGAAATCAGAGTGCAATTTTCTCTAGTTTTTTCGGTGTAAGAATATCTCGTTGTAGCGAAAGTGTCGCGACTAGAAAAGGATTTAAAGGGAGTTAGGGTTTGGGGAGAGTTATTTCTCTCTCTCCCTTCAATCCTCTCATGCCTAAAGCCCTTTTCACCGATTAAATTGCCTCTAAAGCCGTTCGGGAGCTTGATTGAAGGTTGAATCCGTGTGGGGAACGCTTGGAGGTGAGTTTTAATAGTTAGGGTTTCGGTTTTACATCCCCTTTCTCTATTTCCGTGGTTTCCCTGGGTTCTCATGGAGTTTCTCCATTTGTTTAGGACAAAATCCGTGAGGGGGAGTACTTCTTGGTGGATTTAGCATGTGGGACATCAATCTGAGGTAAGGGGGGACTCTACCCTACTCTTTGTATGCGATTTACTGTTATTTAGTTGAATATTGTGATGTGTCTGACTAAAGGATAGGAAATTACTATGAAATATGATGTGGGCCATGTGCCGTGATATATGAATATTATGTGTATGGATAAGAGAATATGTGGTTGATGGAATTTTGTTATGTATTGCGGTGTGTGAACAAATGTGGGCCCGAGGGTCGTGTAATATAGGTAAATGTTGGCTATGTGTCGTGTAATGTGAAATGAATGTGGGCCTAGTGCAGTGTATTTGAATGCAATGTGGGCTGTGTGCCATGTGTAAGCATAATTATTGGATGCGTGAATGGAATATGTGTGAATGGGCTTGTTAGCGCCGTTGTAATGTGCTGTGAATGGTTCAGCGATACACTGGGGGTGTGGGAGATGAGAACGGTAAAAATACCTTGGGGAAGAGGGAATGGTGGTGACACCGACTGCAGAATGGGTGCACCACGGGTCACACACTTTCTTCCTGATTAGACCTCTGACCATTACCTTTGCTTAGCGACCCGTGACTGCCCACGTGGTATCCGTGAAGCGGGGGTAACCGGCGACCATTCATGGTGTAAATCTGTTATCACAGTGCTGCAGTGAATGTGGCTGGCGTGCATATGCATTGAGTTTATGAATTATACTTATAGATGTGAAATGTTGTTTGTGTTTGTGCTTAGTTAATGTATTGGAAATGCTCTGGAGGTGAGACTCTATGTTGACTATGTATTTTTGGTAGTGTAGAGTACTCACCCTTACATTCATTTTTCAGGTAATCAAAACGATCAGTACCGGGCTCAGTGAAGGGGTGAATGGAACTGTTATAGGACTTAGGACATTATTTTGAAAAACTGTTGTATTAGAATAAGTCCTGTAACGACTGTTTGATATAATTTGTAATCATTTTCTTTATTTGAAATGATTGATGAAACTTGAATTAAAATAGAAATTTTATTATTTCAAAAATTTGTGAAATTTCTTATTTATTGAAAATTAAATTTAAGGTGTTACAAAGGACCTGAAACTATTCATCTATCATGCCAGCCCTCAATTTTCGCTAAGTCTTCAGCGGTTAGCTCATCATCCTCCCAAAGGTAGACATCACTAGAGTGTCACTGTTTCTATACTAGGAAATCTCTCAAATGTATAGCTATTATGCCTTTTTAGCAAATCATAATCACAATAAGTAAATACATTATAAATGATCCGAGAAGACCTTTCTATTCCTTGGTATAGATAAAACTAAGAGACTAATGAATTTGACTAGTGGTTGGAAAATTAGAAGGAACTGTATAGTTATAGATTACTTCTAATGTGTACTTCTCATCGTTTCCAAAATATTCTCTAAAATGTAAATGTACAACACGTCCATATTCTCTTAATACATAATTTAATCCACTTTTAGTATAAACATTTACTATGCTAATCCACACAAGGTGTGTTGTCATCTTTACTACCTGTAGAGTGGTGTAAGGGTGAGCAATTATTATACTTTTCAAACATAATACAAATTCATCAATTACGGTAAATCGTACATACACAATAATTATCATTTCATACCACATATCAATTATTCTCTCATACCACACATCAATTATTCTCTCATACATACAAATTCACACAATCTCATTATATCTTTATCCTTCTATTTCTAGATACGCACTGTTAGTGCACTGTGATCACAGTCATTCGATGCCTTCTATTTCTAAATAGTCATTGGTTAGTTCATGCAATATAAATACAACGTATGCAATCACGAGCCCCTTAGCAAAGACATAATCAAGAGTCTAGTTAAAAAATGAGTGTGAGGCCATGTGGCGCATTCGTACTCAACAATAATATGTTTACAATCGTGAATGTCGTTCATCACCTTACATTTTT